AAGACTGGTATCACAAGATACTAGCAGCAGCTGGGTGGACAGCGGAGGGAAGCATTCCTCTACCGAGGGAAAGGCCCATTTTAAGGATACACTGCCTGATGAATAACGTGGCCGGGTGCAGCCCTTCAGGGAAGGACAGACTGTCCAGCTGAGCAGCTATCGAGATTCTGTTCTGGAGAAGAAAAGGCTGGGGAGAAGAAAAAGTGCTGCTGTGTTTCTTTTTTTTTTTTTTTTAAAGATTTTATTTATTTATTTTTCCCCCAAAGCCCCAGTAGATAGTTGTATGTCATAGCTGCACATCCTTCCGGCCGCTGCACGTGGGACGCGGCCCCAGCATGGCCGGAGGAGCGGCGCCTCGGTGCGCACCCGGGATCCGAACCCGGGCCGCCGGCAGCGAAGCGCACGCACTTAACCGCTAAGCCACGGGGCCGGCCGCTGCTGTGTTTCTAACTGATTACATTTGCATGCAGGTTTTGTTACTATCAGGTCACAATCAGAGGTCTCCAAAGATAAAAAAAAAAGTTCTCTTTTAAGGTAGAAAGTTCCTATTCACCGAAAGGACATTGGGTAAATTACTAGGAACTGGGGAAAATACACAGGAGAGTAGTTTATACCTCATAGACAGGGGAAGGGATATGATCTCTAAGAGATGTTTCAAATCTAGGATCCAAGGAAAACAGCAAACCAGCAGTTCTTGTTAAGCCAGTGTGCAGAGAAGGTTCTGCAAAACACAGTTCTATCTGTGCACATGTGTATTTTTAACATGAAAAAACCTTTGCTACATAGATGGGCCCACCAAATTTCTATTCTCAGAGTATCATGTTGAAATATCAAAGGTCGATCACTTTGAAGATATTAATAATTCTAAGCAAAGTTCTTATATCTCTCTTCCTATGTATATTCTAGAATGATCCTAAAAGGAAGCTAAGAACAAATATGAGTGTAAATCCATAAAAAAAAATTGAGGCATAGTGAGCTTAAGTACACTGCTGGGTCCAGAACCCTTTATTCCCTTTTCAATGATTCTCTTCACTAGAATATAGTTGAGGTCAATCATCATTTTCTTTCACATTCTTAAGTCTCTTCTCCCTGTGCAGAACAAGGAAATAAGAGGCCAAAGTGTTTGTTTTGCAACATGTCCCGTAAATTCTGGGGCTTAAGATACAAGATTCATTGATTACTATAAAAAATTCTGTGCTTTCAGTTTCTCTGGAGGCTGAGAGCAGTGATCTTTATTTGTAGTCTTACTCTCCTTCAATATTAGGAATTCCTAATAACCAGCCTTCATAACAAATAAATGAATCTTTCATTAAACCAAATGAATTTGAGGCACCATAGGCTACAAAGGAACCAGGTCCACAATATATAGAGGATACTTTAAAAAATTTTGTAAATTGTAAAGCAATGGCCAAAATGATGACTAAATTATTAATAACAATTATGAACAGTAAAGACATAGCAGCAAGTTATTGAAGACTCATGAGCTATGTGAGTTCAATGATTAGCTGCCTGAATCACAGTTTAAGAACCATTTAAACTGAGTTCTTTACAAAGGTCCCTCAGAAACTACTACACACTGTGCTAATAATAGCTGTAAATTCACTGGACTTCAAACCAAACTTCACAAGAGCTAACTGGAGCCTTGGCTGATCAGAGGGGTAATCTAGGGCTCCTGGCAATGGTAGATGTCTAGGTTTCTGGAGGGGTGTTGACGATGATCTAATAAGATCCGTCTTATGGAAGTCTTACTGAATGACTTTGGTGTAAGGTGATTAAGGTTGCTTTCCTTTTCTTAAGGCTTTTTCTATCTTTTAATTTGGAATACCAACTGGGAAGAAACTACAGTCAGATATTACTCCCACCTGTTTTCTTTTTATTATACGTACTTCAGATTGCAGACTGAATACAAATATTGATCAGAAGCCAAAAAGCCCCACGCATTTCTTATCAGTTTAATCCAGGCCAATCTGTCTTTCAACTCTGCATTTTTATGTTCTTGCCTCACCACTTACTAAAATAAATATGTGAACAAACAGCAATCCAATCCAAATAAGCATCTTTCATCTATAATTATCCGAAGCAAGAGATTTAAAGAAGGATAGAGTTAATCCAGCTCACCAATTGCATCTTCAGTGCCTGTTCAGTCATGCTTGAATGTCTAGATTCAATTTATAGAGACTATGAATGTATAACATTGTAGCAAGATGCTTCTGGCAGATCCTGTCTAAGAGTAACAAAAGGTCAAACAGTTCCTTTGCTGTTCTGTGACAGTTAAAGAGACTCTGGGCTGGGTCAGAGGGTGGGAGAGTTATGTCTAGATCTGGAATGGATCACTCACACAATTAAGTTCTTGTCAGACTGAAAAAAAAATGGCAGTACAACTTCCCCAGGCAAGAGGACAGCCAGATGGAAAGTAACTATTTTTCTCCACCTACTTCAAAATTTGAAATGAGAATGGGAATTAATGACGGAAAAAACATTTCTAAGTTTTAGAATACACTCTTACTTGGGTGGCTGGAGTTACTATTTTGAGGTGATGTTTGGAAATCTTGGGAAAACAGAATTTGATTTTTTCCCTCATTGGAAACTGGTTACTCAAGTAAAAATTAATACCCTCAAATCACATTTTAACTCACAAATTAAGCTCTATAAGAATATTATTATAAGTATAGAAGGTCCTCAACTATTAAATCTATATTTTTATTCATTATACATAGAACTATACAATGCTGCTTGTATGTAGAATTTGGATATTCATATATCAGCTGACAAGTGGACATTAAATTTACAGTTTTTTCCTGTTGATGCTGCCTGCAAGCAACAGTCTAGTTTTGGCATTTTCATCATCTTTATCTGACACTGGTGTTTGTTTTTGTTCAATTATTGGTAAAATAGAAGTACTGAGCCAAAGATGGAAATTATTAGGCTTAATATAAGTGGCAAGTGTTTAGCTTTAACCAGATACTTATTGTGTGATCAATTGTGAAGGAAAAGAATGAACAAATACGTATGAAGGTTTGGAAGTATATTGCTGAGAAGACTACCAAAAAGGTAAGGAAGAACGTATGTTTGACTCGTTGAGAAGAACCTTCTCCCACCTCACATATACACATAACGAACACACAAGTCTATTGTTAAACTTTCAGTGATCTGACGTCACTATACATTTTTGGAGACCTAGTATGTATTAAAATAAAGTCGGAAGGTTAGACTCTAAATCAATTATTATTAGTGAATATGTCCAGCACAGATTCATAGAAGATTAAGAGAGAAGGATCCTTTGAGTTCATCTACTTCAAAATGATAGTTGTACAGATGAAATAACTGGAGGGCACAAAGATGATCTTCCTTTCCTAATGCTCTACAGATAAATTGGTGGCACTGGGACCAACTAGAGAACATGGGGTTTCTCTAGTTCAGTATTTTTTCTATCACTGTTATTTGATTCCTGGTCATCATGTTAACATTACAATTCTGTTTCCTCAAAAATCATTGCAGGCATGATTCTTGATAGCCTTGGAAACTATTAGTGCCTCCAGGTTTTTGGGGCCTGTGAATGTTTGTGATTCTTGCTCCACAAAATTAATACAGTATCAAAACTTGAACGCCAAATCAATATTGACTGGTGTTGCAAATATTTCAAAATGGTTCCTGTGTTTTATGTTCCAGGTCTAAAGTTAAATATCACCTTTTCAGAGATGACTTCTCTAGCAAGCTTACCATACTTGGCCTGTTTTTATAAAATTTTATAGCACAGGTCATATTTTGAAATAATGCATTTGTTTACTCATTGATTACCCATCTTCTCTAACAGACTGTAAATTCCATGAAGGCAGGGGTCACTTCTGTTTTGTTCACTACTGTTTATCTAGCACCTAGTACAGTTCTTGGCCTATAGAATAAGCTTAAATAATATTTGTTGAATAAACAACTGAATTTATCTCTCTAACCCGTGGTTGAGGCAAGTCTTGTGGAAGCCCTAATTATCCCTTTTATCCTGTCCTAAACTTGGTATCTAAGCCCAAAGGATTAAAGTTCCAGGGAAGTAGATTTTAGTTCAGCAAAAGCTACCAATCAGAGAGATTCAGAAACGGAATGAGCTAATTTATGGGACACTGAGCTTTTTAATAATTTTTTTAAATTTATTTTTCCCCCAAAGCCCCAGTAGATAGTTGTATGTCATAGCTGCACATTCTTCTAGTTGCTGTATGTGGGACGCGGCCTCAGCATGGCTGGAGAAGCGGTGTGTCGGTGCGTGCCTGGGATCCAAACCCGAGCCGCCAGTAGCGGAGCGCGAGCACTTAACTGCTAAGCCACGGGGCCGGCCCGACACTGAGCTTTTGGCCAAGAAGAGGCTGCCCAGGTATATAAGATCTCTCTGCATTAGGCGGAAGTTCGAACTTGACAACCTCTCAGTGACTTCCATGACTTCTAACTCTAAGGTCCTGCAGTTCTTTTCAGCTGTTTGATTTTGCATTAGGTTAAAATAAAGTGCATAAAGAATCCCCTTAGGAAATAATCTAAGATAAGTAATCTAATGAGACTTAGAAATTGATTATTCAGGCAGGCATGCCTGTTTACAGGTATTTGATACATACAAATTCTACTGAGTATATAATTTGCTATAAGTCCACATAATATGTAACTCAATGAAGACTAACAGTAAAGAATTAAAAAAAATTTGTGTAGCATTTCAGTTTTAAACACACACAGACACATTCATGTAATTACTATGTCAACTCTGAGAAAAATGATGTATGAGCACATACAGAGTAAGTGGCTTGTCCAAAATCATACATGTAAAGTGCTAGAACTGTCAGGTCTCAAACTCCCAATCTTCTCACTCTACTAGACAATGTTACTTTTTGACTCCAGAATTACCCATCCTTTAGGTTTAGCAATATTTGTATCCTCATCTTGGACCGAAAATATCTTTCTTCCAAATTTCACTGGGAAAAGGCAAAATGGAATTTAAAAATATGACTTTTTCTCTGATTTTTGTATCAAAAATCTATTTATTATTATAGAAGTTATAAACATCTAACATTAATTATAACACAACAGTGATTAGTTTAAATAATTAATACATCTTGTTAGCTTTTAGAATTAAAGATCAACAGTTATTAAATGTGATTTTTTTCACCCAGTCTAATGAAAGAAGATTTCAATTCAGAATAGCAACTTTATTAACTCAATTAAGGCCCCCAAAAGGAATATTTACTTCTGTAATGTTTAGTAAAGAACTGAGAATAAGATGGGCATTTATCATAGGTTAAATGGCAGAGGAGAAAAGATCCAATAACATTTTATTTTTAGCTACTAGTTGTTTCTCAGGGTCACACAGGAAAGGATCTAATAATTAAAGACAAAGTAAAATACCCTGTCTCACTGTGTCTTCAAGTTTAAAAGGCACTTGGAGACCATCTAGTTCAATTTCTTCATTTCTTCTTAATTGACATAATAGATTTGAGATTCTACCTGCTATCAGTACCTCTTCTTGAGGGAATTCATCTTTCTATGAAATGCTCTCAACTTTCTAAGAAAATCATGATCACTTCTATTTTTCAATTGTTATATCTTACGGCATGACAATTACACATAAAAACTTGTGCATTTCTGAAATTCAAACATGCATTCTCCTGTATGCACGCTCATGTGCAATACCTCTGGCACGGAGGGATCTTCCTTAACCAGTCTTCCAGCTATAAAAGACATGAATGAGTAAATCTTGGAAAAGGGATAACATCTTTGATATTGTCAATTCCCAAGATGCACTGCAGATAGCGTTCAAATCCCATCCCAAAACCTCCATGTGGCACAGATCCAAATCGACGGAGGTCCAGATACCTGATTTTGAAAAACAGAGAACCATCATCTATAAATGCTGTATGGGATCAGATGTTATGATAGCTTTTTATGTTTCAAAAGCATTTTGCAATCATTTGTTACTGTCCATATCATTGTGGTAGACCAGTCTTTTCCCTCCACAGACAGAAGAAGGACACAGAGAAATTAATCTGTTCAAGGTTACCCAAAGAGTAGCAAATCCTGCCATGCATTCATGGGCTCTGCTCATTTGATCCTTTTTCTTTTAAGTTATTTACGTACTTGTATACAGAAAACTTGCTTTATGAGGCTAGAGAAAATTTTCTAATAACTTTACTAATTTTCTTGAAAATACATTCTTCTATTTGTTAGTATGTTAATGATAATGCTCTTTTTTTCACCCACATATTGTTCAATACACAGAAACTGAAGAGTTTTGCCTGATACATTATAAAAAGACATCCCCTACTGTAAGGGGGACTATAAGCTACATCAACGGCAGGAACTGTGTCTTATCTAACCCTTTATCTCCAGTGCCTGCTCTAGAGTAGATGCCTCCTATATGAAGATTTATTGTTTGAAGGCACAACAATATACTCTTCAGTGCTGGAGTGTGGAGAAACTTCTAGTTCTCTGCTTCAAGCCTCGTGGAAGACGTCCAGAGTCATTTTTCTGGAAAGCTAGACAGCCTCTGAAGCCCATTCATACACATTCTATTCCCACTTAAGATCACATTGCTAGAAAATGGTTACAGCCATGATTCAAACTCAGATTCTAATACACCAGCCTGGGATAAAGTTATTTTAGGAAAGGAAGAGGAGGAGGAAGACTTTATAAAGATTTTTATGACATCACTTGGTGGGGGAATTCTTGAGTTATATAATATTGGTTAAAACCAGTTTATAGCTTCTTGAATGATTTGTAAAATCAGTTCCAGAATAAAACTTAAGCGCCATAGCTGGTAGTCATTTGGCTCCTCAAGGATAAAGACTATCATCTATTTCCCCACTATTAATAATAATGGTTACAAGTATTGGTATTTTAGGCAGTTAAGATTAAGTACTTATCTTTCTAGAGAAGATGAATTGCAACTAGGTGAGTTACAACCAAGCAAGCGATCAATAAACAGGAGTATCTAGTATAAAACTTCAGACTAGTAAGGACTATGAGGAATAATGGAAGGAGCACAGCCTTGAGTAATTGACATGTTCGGCAGCTGAACTAACTTGAAGTTTACAAGGCATGGGGGCAGGGTGTACTTTGATTTAGTGAGAAAATGAGATAAAGGGCATATCAAACCACCTGCCACAAACACCTGCAGGATCTGAGCTGGTCCAGCAATAGCTTTAGCTGGCTCTAAAGTTCTCATACATCGATGTCAAAACACTGGCATAAATGTCTGGAAACTGCATTCAGCAGAGAAATTCAGTCTGCAGCATCTTCTTTGCCTTTGCTCTGAGAGCTAAAATCCACTCCTAAGACAAAGTTTTCTAATGAATATGTTTTGTTGGATTGTTGTTAAATTGATTCTAGGGCCGCCAAATTATAGAAGAGATGGTACAAAATTTGTGGAACTAGTTACAGATTTTATTTGCATATGCCATCTAGAAATAGGAAGTGAGTAAATTCTTAGACACCTGGGGTAGCTACTCACAGCGTAGTGGAACACTAGCAGAGATCACAGACTTGAGGATTTCTAAAATTCCTTCTACTTTTAAAATACTATAGTTACCATATAAGAGGAAGCAGATTCAAATAATAAATATTCATATTCGGAGATCTTAAGACTTTGAAAACTTCAGCAGGGAAAAGAGTAGTATTGAAATAATTAAGAGAGACCAGAAAAGGCCTAAACTTATTTAACCAATAATTAGAATTTGTTTTTCTTTTTGCATCTCTGAAATCTAGCTCTTTCATTACCAAAAGTGTAATTTGACCCGTTCTTCTCCTAAGGACAACAAAGAATTAATAATATTGTTGATATTACACCAAGATCGCAAAGGAGTGCTATTACAGAAATATAAATAAATGATTTGTATATATTGGAAAGAACTGGCAGAAAGGGTCTGCAGAAAGAAAACCAGAACACCTTTGGAGAAGTAAATGTATGAATGCAGGCAGGTGATCGTCCCTAAGCAGCTTAAATTTCCACAGCTGGTGGAGACCTGAGGGATCACTTAGCTCAAGCCCCTAATTTCACACATAGAGAAACTGAAGCACAATGGTTAGGAACAAAGTCCCAGCTCTATGCTTCTAACTGTGTGCTCTTTGTTAAGTTAGTTAACAACCATAGGCCTCAGGTCTAGAAGGGTAATAAAAAGGAGATAAGAACAGTCCCTAACTCACAGGGTGTTATGATGATTATATGAGATAATATACATCAAACTTTTTTTTTGAGGGAGATTGGCCCTGTGCTAACATCTGTTGCCAATCTTCATTTTTCTTTTTTCTCCCCAAACCCCAGTATGTAGTTGTGTATCACAGTTGTAGAGTTGTAGCTTTTCTGAATGGGAAGCCGCCTCAGCATGGCTTGATGAGTGGTAAGTAGGTCCGCACCCAGGATCCAAACTTCAGAAACCTGGGCCGCTGAAGTGGAACGCGCAAACTTAACCGCTACGCCACCAGGCCAGCCCCTACATCAAACTTTTAACACAGTTATCTGGCACAAAATAAGTAAGAAATAAATGGTAGCCATTATTATTACTATTTTTCAAGGATTCAAAGGGAGTAAGTAATCTTGTGAGAACCCGTTCATTGTTCTTAACTCTCTTCCATAGTGCCTAGGGCAATTCAAGTAAAAACTACGTAACACTAAGACCAACAGCTAGAATAAGAATCATCAGGGGCCACATTCTTACCATTGGTAGGCTTCTGTCAGTCCTAATCTGTAAAAGGAAAATAATAAAATTCTTTAAGAGAATGGCAATATGATAAATATACTAATCACCAAACATTTCTTCTGGGCTGTGTGCAAAGCGCCCTTTTAAAGAAGTATACACCAAAACCTGTGCTCTCAAATAATATGCAATGTAGCTGAGGAGCTGAACCTTTACTAAATGCTAAGAAAGGTAAATTAACCAACAATCCAAGGTATTATCAAGTAAGTGGAATAGACAATAAATGCCATACGAAGGAAGTACGGTTCATTTGCGATGAGCTTATTGTCCTGTGACACAAGAAAAGCACTATCACTACTATGTAAGGTTGTTGGGAGGCACACACAAGGGACACACAGACACGCCTTTCATCCAACAACATTAAAACAATAATATAGATTCTGAGGCTGCCTTCATAACATGGTTGCAAACTGGTTTTTGCCAATTTGAGAAATGTTAATAAAAGGTTAAGTTCTTAGTATTCATTAAAATTAATTTCAGCCCTTTAAAAAAAGAGTTTGGGACCAGACTGGATCTAAAGTGATCAGGACTATGAAAAATTCAAATATATAAATATAGAAAACAGGGACAGAAGTCACAGACAGAACTCCAAGACAGGGAAACCCACATATCCATTTTATTAGAAAAGATAAATTTGGATATTATCAGATATTAGGTAAACATTTAATGTTATGAGTAAAGGTTTCCTGAAGGAAGGAAGCAAGCAAAGAAAACAGACCAATTAATCTTTCAACAGATGAGGTTTCTTGCCATGTGTGATTTTTATTGTGCTTTTTAAAAAACCCAGGAAATATCCAAATTCTTTCCACCTAAGGAGTTTGATCTTCACTTAAATTCCACAATTTTCCAAGGACTTTCTAATGGTATAGTAATAAGAAGGAGTTAGTAGTCTGATAAAAAAGAGTTCTTCCAGAACATATTCGTCCTCTTTCTTTTGGACCCTAACCAAACAGAGCAGTTCAAATGATTGGGATTACAAAACCAAGTTACCCAACAGATTTATAGGTTGGGATCTTGGAAAAGCATCAACTTTTTAAGTATTTCTCCATTAGGAAAAGAATGCCTTACACATGGCTAATTTAACAGGATATTTTCAAACAATTATGGCTTTTCCAGGTTACTATGAAACCCAGTATCATCTGGAGAGAAGGATTAAGCCTTCGACATGGGAAAGCCTTTTTTTTAAAAGTCTGGCACAGCAAAAGTGGAAACCATGGAAAATAGAGGTTTATAACCTTAGTTAGTTTAGGAAGTCATTGTGGTTTGTTGGCAGACCATGCATATATAGGAGTGGTAGTTCAATTAGAAACACGATTCCCTACTTCTCATCTCCAAAACATTTTCTGTGTGTTTATGGATTCATTTCCCAGGTCTCAAACAGCAAGTTAAAATAAGTTATTCAAACAGCTAAATAAAGACCCTTACATAGTAGAAAACCTGAGGAAGGGAAAACTGCTTATTCCAAGTGCTAGCTTAGTGGATATTTTAGTATCTTTCTTTCTCCATCTTTATCTTTTCCCTGGTTCAGAGACCCTGTCTTTCCCCTGTCTTTCATGTCCCTGAGGAGTCTGCCAATCATAATTCAGAGTAAATAAAAAAAAACACAGAGAAGAGAAAAATGAAGGACAAGCTTTAAGGGGGAAATCTCCTTCCTTCTTCTATCATTAACTTCTTTTTTTTGTGAGGAAGATCAGCCCTGAGCTAACATCCATGCCAATTCTCCTCTTTTTACTGAGGAAGACCGGCCCTGAGCTAACATCTATCACTAATCCTCCTTTTTTTTCCCTTTTTCTCCCCAAAGCCCCAGTGATAGCTGTATGTCATAGTTGCACATCTTGCTAGTTCTTGTATGTGGGTTGCTGCCTCAGCATGGCCGGACAAGCGGTGTGTCGGTGCGAGCCAGGGATCCGAACCTGGGCTGCCAGTAGTGGATCACGTGCACTTAACCACTAAGCCATGGGGCCGGCCCCTCATTAACTTTTTAAAAAGCGACTTCCATAGGGAGAGATACATACAAATAGTGGGCAAATATCATTGCGACCTTGTTTCATGTAACAGTTCCAGTTCTTAAGAAAGGGAAGCTCAGAAAGGTCACACAGAATGAGAGCCAGGTCTGTCAGGTGCTGAGGCCCACGTGCTGTTCTCTGTTACTTTGCCATGACTGCCTTTGAGTGCCCCATCCCCAATTTCTGAATTTTGTTTCCCTGAGTTCTGACCAATACCTGGCCAGTCGCTGCTCTAAGAAATGGTACCGTTCCTCTCTGAGGCTTCCTCCAAAGAGCTCTCCAGCTCCAGGAACAAGAAGATCAACAGCAGCAACCTAAACAGGAAAAAAATCATACATGCACAACATTACATTTTCAGGGGATTCCAAAAATTGTCAGCTTCTCAAGCAAGTGGAACTTTTTTCTACAATAAAGATGTTTTATACTTTCATAATAAGAAAACAGCAAAAAAAAACTTTTAACAGGGGAAAATGGTAGCTTGATATTTTAATTTGTATTTCTTCAATTACTAGTAATATTTAATTTTTGAGACTCTTTATTTGCTATCTGTATTATTTTGTGACTTGGTAATTCTTTTTTAGGGGGCAGGTAGACATTGAAGACCAAGAATTTGAAGGCACAAAACTAAGAAAGATTTAATGCAACAAATGAAAATTAGGAATCTATAAAACATATTTTAATCTTTAAATGTCAACATTAGGGCCGGCTCTGTGGCTTAGCGGTTAAGTGCGCGCGCTCTGATGCTGGCGGCCTGGGTTCGGATCCCGGGCGCGCCCCAAGGCACCACTT